GACACTGGCAATTCGTCACTGCCATTCCGTTCCGACAGTCGGCCCAGACCACTCTTTGGGAGGTCAGGGGATGAAGTTGACTGCACACTCATATCATTGACGGAGCTCCTCCTTATGACCTTTTCACGCCGAACCGAGCAACTTCTGACTCTATTCCGCATACGCGGCTTCAAACTGTGCGCGGAATGTGTGTCAGAACCATCGGCCGAAGGGCTATCCATGTCGCTTTGGTCATCCGTCTGAGATATTGACTGCTGATCAAAGTAGGTCGATGTGACGATCTTGCCTCGCCTGTTATCATCTCTGATTCCTGAATCGGCTCTCTGATTAAGAAACGCTTCCTCTAAAAATCCATTGCCTAAAATACAATCTGAAGTAAGGGTGGTTTCCAAGGTTCCTCGGCTTTAAGCCTTATCGTAACCATAGGGTTCGTTAACGAATCTGTTGGAATGGAGACAATATTTACCAGCGTTTACGGTCGTCCTTTGTGAAGCCTTGCCCTTCTTGAATATACCCAACCTAGTAGACTTATCCAGCATCTATCGAGCAAGTAAAAAAGGTCATTAATTGCCATATATCATAGCAGTTCCTTGATCAGAACTGAAGACAATGCAGATTCATACCGTGATTCTCTCTCTGGACACAGTGGGGGAAACAAATTGCTATAAGACGCGTTTTGGGAGCATAAGTCAATATGCACATCGACCGTGAATAGGAACCGTTCAGATTAATACGTGAATTAATCCAAATCCAAATGATAAGCATGTAAGTATTGACGTCAATTTGCTGCAAAGGAGAACAGGCGAAGGGGATGCTATGGGAAGATATCTTACGTTCATGACAAGGGAGCCCTGGGTTAAGACCTTGCGTGGTTTATTACTATCTGACGTCCTCGGCCGACGCGTGGTGATTGAATGTTCCTTTCCTTTGGTATGATGGCGCTTATGATGTTCATGGTAATTGCGGTGGTCGTCGTTCTCGCGGCCTTGTAGCGGACGCCTGTTCCTTCCTTCCCTAGAGCTGCCTTTGTCCTGTGACTTTGTTCCGTGTCGATCTTCTTGGGCACGGTGATTCCAGATTGCTACTGTTGAATGGTATATTACCGGCTTTACTCATGTCAGTGAGATCTGAGGCCATTGAAGGTGTGATCTACGCTTGGATACACAACTATTCATTTCGTCGCAAACCCGTCTGTACCTTTTTTCATTGAACGAGATCCACTTCCGTTTGTTCCAGCGGTCCTGGATACGGCGATCTTTCCTTTCTCTTGCTTTGACGGGGGGTTATGTTCGGATTTGGTGGTGTCGAGATGTTGGATGTCATGCTCAGCAGCATTGTCGAGTTGCTTCCGTCTCTTGTACATTTTAGGCTCATTGCGTTTTATAGACTTAGAGCCGCTCTTGCGCTTCATACATTCGATAAGACTCAGCCGGTCCCCTTGCTTCTGTTGTTTCTCATTTTTCTTGCGCGACGGCTCAGGCGAAGAGGGCACAGCTATAGTCTTGTGAGAATACTCATGTTTGTCTGATGGCTCTTCCTGCTTGGATTCATTTCGATGGATTTTCTTCAGCGCTTGTTGATGATATGGCTGAGGATGATGGTCGCTGGATCGAGAGACGGCATTTCTGTGGGTTGGGCTTCCTTCCTCTGTACTTTCTGCTGCCTCTGTTGTTTCCTGCGCAGGGTCGTGTTCAGGCGCCGCAGCTTGGCCAAGCGCATCCAGGAACTCTTTGAGAAAGTCTCGTTTCACGTTTAGTTCCTTGTGATACTGCGTGTGCTTCGAGAGGTTTTCCAGGCTGAGCATTACTGAGGAAGTTGCAGAGAATGACAAAGACTGATAAGGCGCAGCGTCTTTAGGCATTTGTGATTGTTAATGGGTCATTGGCGATTTGGAAAGTTGGACGAAATGTGCGGCATGCAATGGCATGGAAACACCAGAAAAACGAAAGACACAAATTTCCCTATGCTTGCGCTGAGGCCACTGGTAATATCAGAGTCACAAAACGTTCCGAGTCGCGTGAGGCCAGCGGGGTCGTTCATTGTGCAATGATGCCATGCTTATATCAGAAAGGGTTGGGTATAAATGCACATTTACTACATAATGCATTGACGAACGCTGTATCTACGGGTATCGCTGTGCGTACCATATATCTGCTACTTTCGTACTCAGCCCTGGTCCTATCTTCTTTCTGCCCACATTTGACACAGCTCGCATGAGAATCGCTCTACGTTGAGCCTGAGACACTTGGTCACCTGCCTCATCTAACGCCGAGAAGAGAGCGCGCGGTGTCCCATAGACTCTAGCTAACTCTTCAGCCTTTTCGCTGCTGACACCTCGGATTGTCATCAACATTTTGACAAACGTGTCTCTGACCACTAGAGTCTCCGATTTGCCATTTAAAGACCCAAATGAACTGTAGCTTGTAAGGTAAGTACGGTCGGGGAAGTTTTGACTGAGATGGCTCTGAAGGCTCAAGAAAGTACCTCGGTCTATAGCTTCGTCGGGAATAGCATATAATGTTTCTGACTATGGCGAGAAAAGAAATAATGTATGGATTAATAAATAGGACTCCTGAATATCAATGGACTTAACTCGGACGGAAAATGCTCATACCTCGTAGAGTCGCCTCAGTGCTTCCGTGATGCTGACCAGGTATTCGATTGTTTGATCCGTGTGATTCGTACGCTTGAGAAAGAAGGAGTCGTTCACTTGAACCTGCGTCATTGCGGTTCGAATTGCATCCGCACCAATGTCGTATGTTTCGCCTATCCTGTGCGTCTCCACCAAATAGATGACATGACCCAGGCCAGATCGCCGTAACCGGAACTAATTCAAAAATAAAGAATGAATATATTGTGCTATACAATAAACCAATGATCGCTATCGGGCGACACAATGAACGCGTTATCAATTGTACCTACCTTTTGCTCGTTGAAGCGCCCATCCTTGATACTACTGACTAAGTCATCCATGCGCTTGCGTTCAACAATATAGTCCAAAACCAGTTCATCCGGGCCTGTGGAACTACGGTCCTTCAATCGAGCAACCCAAATAACGTCGCCGAGATCCAAAGCGCGTTTAATGGTAGGGATGCCTTTCTCCTTCAGTTTCTCGCCAATATAATCACGGTCTGTTTGGGTGCGGACCTCGCGGATGTCCAGCACAAGGCAAATTTCAAATGTACCCGGAGGGAAGATGATCGGGTGAAACCTTGCCAGCTTTTCAATGCTAACTGATGAAGACAAGTTTGCACTGTGTATTCGAGTGAAAGATGTGCTCCTCAAATGCGAAAATGGGTTGTGGTTGGACCCAGAAAAGTCCTGGAGTCCTGATCTACTGGAGCTGCCACTGCGAGGTACGCCTATCACCTTAGAGGCTGCGCTCAGCGGGTAACTGGTGGCTGCGGATGAATCAATTTCTGTCGATGGGCGATACTGTGTTTGTGTTGGCTGTTTAGACAGAAGAGCTGATGTGGGCACTCTCTTTAGCCCTAAGGACGCGTGACCACGTTGCGTTGCAGATGACGACAGAAGAGAATGGCGCGAAAGGGGAGCTGTCGGATCTACTAAGATCTGACTTTGAGATCCGGACGAACAGAGATGGCTGTTGAAGGTCATGGCGCTGTCCGTGTCGTCCTCAGAATCGCTCAAGATTGTTACTGGCTGGTTTTTGGCGTCCCCTTCCAGCTTTATCTTTGCTGATGTCGAAGCGTGGATATTGTATGATGTTGAGGTGTGTGAATTGGCGCGCCATTTTGCACTTGATTGATCGGAAGTCGACGACCCAGAGCCAGCTCGAGGATCGCTCCAGGCATCATAACTGTCTTGGTAATCAAAGTCATAATCAATGCCGATATTATGTGTTGTCCGGGATTCCACAGCGCGAGTTGTGCGCAGTGTCATGGTCTCCATCGCCGTGTTTGACTTTGTAACCGACTGATGCTTTTCGAAAGAGCCCTGTGCGTGACCGAGAACGCTCAGTGTGTCCTGACCGCCGATGTCATGATTCGAGAGTCGACGAGATATTGATGGATCGTGAATAGGTTCATGCTCGTCGTCAATATTAGCAGGGGCCGAGACGTCGGGGCCGGCTTCACTTGCAATGGTCCTCATCCGCTTTGCAATGTCAGCACCTTCGTCTGTCAGATAGTAGTTCCTTCCGGACTGGTAGATAAGATTTTTGCCTATCAGAGTCTTCATCGAGTCCCAGGCGGTGTAAAACTTTCCATGCTCCGGATTTGTGAGTGAGGCGTCGCAGTAGACCTGGCCTCGAGTGGTGATCTCATGCTTGGTCAAGCGCCCCTCTCCAGTTGATGTTTTCTCATCCAGTAGTGTGAGCAATATGGCATAGGGTCCCGATCTGTACGTAGGCACATAGGTCTTCTGAACCCTTGCTCTTGCTTTCTTCGGTTTCGGCCCTTCTTCCTCCTCTGCAACGTTGACACCACCGGCTACAGGCCTTGGCTTCCGCCTCTTTGATGCTAGTATTTGTTACTTCTAGGTTAGTAAATTCACCTACATTATGACTTGAGAGACAGTCTTTACAAACTCATAAACTTACTGGGCATGGGCAGATCATTTGCTTTGCAGTACTCTGCCAGTTTCTTCTCTAACATGCCCACGGTTTTCTCCCCTATTCCTGCCAGGCATAGCGCCTCAACTGGATGATTAAAGCGCGTCGGGTACTTCGCCATTGAATCATAGGCCTACAATGATAATAAATAGAGCAATGTCAGTCCTGCTGTTCCATCGTCATCGATCCATTGGCTTTCATTTCATTGCTGGTTTGTACCTTGCGATAAATATAATAGGATCGATTATTGTTCTCACGGGCAAACTCCATCCATTCCCCAATCCACTCGAGGTACAACGGATTCCCGCATTCCATGTGTAAATTATGAGCGATCTTGGCAATGACTAATGTCCTGAAAATTGTCCAGTGCAAAAGGTAATGAATGTGGAGGAAAAAGAAAACAATGTCAATTCCAGGAATAAAACATTTTCCCTGCCGAGGATCGAACTCGGGATCTCCGCGTGACTTTAGTATATCTTGAAAATATAAGCACGGCGCCTTAAAACCAACTTGGCCACAGGGAAGATTTCAATTTTTTAACGAAAGCCTCCACCCTTTTATTGGGAGGACTGAATAATCACGTGATTATCTGATTAAGGGTTATAAAAAATAGAAAAAAAAGAAAAAAAAAAAGGGTTTATTACACGTAGTTCATAGATTTGTAGGGTCTTTTGACTTGAGAGATATATTG